CCACACTTAGCTAAAGCCATCCAGCTGTCTATCTTACCGACCTTATAGATAAGGGAATCCAAAGGAGATAAGGATGATCGACTCCAATCCATTCAGGGCACGCCACCTGTCTCGCAAAGATATCCCTTGTATTATTTTCTTTTCTATATAAAGGGCATCCTCACCCTTGTTGAGGCAGAACGAAATATTTAGTTTTTCCGTTTCAAAGTCTGTACTCTCTCTCTCTCTCTCAGGTGTGCTCCTATATTATACTTATCAAGTATCTAATAAAGTGTGCCATATTGAGTAAGTATTGTATCTATCCCTTTACTTTTACTATGCATGTCTGAATATATACTTATTATAATAAATGATATATTAGCATATCATACAAATCGAAAAAACAATCTTTTCCGAAACTTTCTGTCAATCTGGCCTAATGACCCTTGGGGTTTACAGCAATTAGAAGAAGTTAATCAATTAATTAAAAAAACACAATTACAAATCCAGGAACAAATCTGTCTACTCATATTGGCCGGTAGGCCTCCACCTCCTCCAGAAAATTAGTTCATGAGACCATGTATGGCATAATTAATCTAAAATAAAATAAAACTATAACAACTAATATTCTTGGGTCAGTGCTTAGTGATGGTTAGTACAAAGTAAGGGTTAATGGGACGTCACCCAAGTCGCGTAGAGTTTGACCGTGAGCAGTAAGTGCGGTTAGGTCTTTTCTCGTAAGTCGTTGACAGACGTGTTAACCATAACCTGTGGGCCTCCACCTCCTCCAGAAAATTAGTTCATGAGACCATGTATGGCATAATTAATCTAAAATAAAATAAAACTATAACAACTAATATTCTTGGGTCAGTGCTTAGTGATGGTTAGTACAAAGTTAGGGTTAATGGGACGTCACCCAAGTCGCCTAGAGTTTGACCGTTAGCAGTAAGTGCGGTTAGGTCTTTTCTCGTAAGTCGTTGACAGACGTGTTAGCCATAACCTGTGCAAGCACCATTATTGGTATCAGAGCCAAGTTTATTATTTGTTATAGTTTGTTTTATTCTAAATTAATTATACATATATGGTCATCATACAACCTAAGGTCTACAGAACCCATAGCAGATACAGCCTCAACAGTAGCCCAAACCGTGGCCAATACAGAAGCTTCTTCATCAGAAGCCAGAGAACTAGTTGCCTATCAAGAGGTTAAGGAAGCTCTTGATAAGTGGACTATCCCGAATGTAAAACTAAATACTATCTATAAGATAGGTAAACTTGATTTTTCCAGTAAACGCATAATCAAGACATTTGAACATGCTATGCCTGTCCTGAACAATGATGAGATAATACATCTCCTCCATTTCCAGGATTTATACCCCTTCCTAGAACATTATAAGTGTCATGACCCGAACCGGCCCCTATGGGTTAAGGACATAACCGGCCAGCAATCTTAAGATTACCTACGGCCTCAGACCAAAACAGACATAACTCGTCAGAGTAAGGGGCCAAACAGAAGCAATAAATAAAAACTTTGTCCATAGAGCCGTGCTTATATGCACATCAGACAAACCATACTCTGATACGTTAATAACCCACATCAAAAGTACAGTTCTACGAAATTCATTACAGACAGGATCATCCAAAACGAGTCAACCTATGACAGACTATTTACAGATATACATAAAGTCCTTGCCGGCAAAACAAAATATAATACATAGCAAAAGGCAAGGGTAGGTCTCAAAAATGAGACGCAAGGCTGACTTCTTCAAAACTTGGATTTTTCCTAGCAGACTTCACTGAGGCTAGGTCTGGACTTCTCTTGGCTCACCTACAACACATGAATGAGCGTGAGCGATAGCCCAGTGAATAATATCAAATCAAATACAGAAGTTACATAACAACGTAGAACGTTTTCCAAACGACCTTAGGCCCAATTCATATTTGCATTTAATAGATATATAACTATACGCAATTCAGATCAAGTGACTGTAGTTCTAACGTTCTGGCCTTTGGCCCATTCAGATTTCCATTCATGTCAAAACGGCCTTTGGCCCGCTCATTCATTTCAAAACGGCCTTTGGCCCATTCATTTATGTCAAAACGGCCTTTGGCCCATTCATTTATGTCAAAACGGCCTTTGGCCCATTCATTTACTCTTGTCAGACTTTAGTCCGCAATCCCAATTAACAGCTCATAAAGTTTATAAGGGAATAACAATTGGACATTGACAAACTTTCAAATATTGATATTACTCACAGTGATCGGCTTGTTGATTTGCCCTGGAGCTTGACCCTACACGTTTCATGAACACAAAAGGGTCATTAACAGTTTAATCCGTTCTTTAATTCACATATTCCTCTTTAGGGTTTATTATTATTATCTCATTAGCTCATTTACAATGCTTAACATATGCCTAAGAGTGCTTGCAAGTGAAACAGAACGGAAAACAGAACACAAAATGCAAAAACAGGATTTCAGAAAATAGGGTCCCCGCTCGAGCGTAGACTTCCCCGCTCGAGCGGACCCTTAGGTCTGCAAAAGTACTGGTTGCCTTCAATTCCAGCTCGAGCGTGAACTCGGCCGCTCGAGCGCACTGCTTGTCTACATAGCTCCCCGCTCGAGCGTCAAATCCCCCGCTCGAGCGGGAACCATGTCTGCAAAAAGATGCTGGGAGCTCGTTTTCTCCGCTCGAGCGTGGACTTCCCCGCTCGAGCGGAATCCGAAATTCTGGAAATTCCAGATTGTGTTCTTGAGCTTCAACTCGATTTCCCAGCTACCATTCTTGCATGCAAGGGCTCAAATCTCAAATATAATCATACTAACATGGTTCCCTTGCAAGATCACAACATTATGAAGTTCAATTTCTTGATTTATCTACATGCATGTCCCAAAATGTCTCAAACCCATCATCAACATGCTCAATTTCAAACATTCAAGACTTATACTCCCATGATTTGTACATGCATGTGGGAGATGCTCATCATTCTCAACTTAGATGGTACAGATGGTGATCAAAACATGAGTTTCAACCAAAACTCTACATGAATCATGTGTTTCAAGCTCAAACATGCAAATTCAAAGTAATTTCTTACATGCATGAGTTCTAAGACTTCAAACTCAACAAAAATCAACTTATTACATGCTCTTGATCACAACAACCCTTGAACTTACAAGATCACAATTTCAAACTTATGAATTCAGGACCAAATGCTTACCTAGAGGCTCAATCTTTCAACTATAGGAATTTCTTGAGTTTAATCCTCCAATTCTTCACAAATTTGAGCCAAACACCAAACTCTCCTCTTTTCCCTCTCTCTAGCCGACTCCCCTCTCTCTTTCTTACGTTTAAGTCAGCCAAGAGGAATAACAAGGAGGGATTTGAGTGTATAGAGCCTCACTAAGTCACAATATAATAATAATATAGAGTAATTGGGCACTCATTTTACCAACTTAATCAACTTAATTTGGCCCAAATAAATTTTCAATTAAACTTCATCGTAGGCTCTAAAAATTATGCCACCCACAATGGCGTAATCAATTTCGGGTTCTGTGGCCGATAAGGCCCTCAATTTAATTTCCAAAGCAGGTTATTCAAACAGATATTCCTACGATGAGCAGATACGAATTCAAAATCACCTAATAGCACACAAAATCATGCTAAGCAAATAACCATAAACAGATTTAGGACCAATTTAGCATAATACAGAACAGGGATGTCACAATAAGTATGTCCACATAGGACTTGTCCAGATAGCCTTCAAACCCTTGACCCTTTTAGGTCAAAATACCAGTCTCCAATGTACCCTTAGAGATGGAAGATGTACCGATTGGAGAGCCTCACTAATGGGAGCTGTTGAAACCAGTCTGTTCCATGGTCCAGTTTATTTTGATATTTATCCCAATTTAAGTATAGCACTTTTTGATGCAAATTTATCTAAAGTTTTAGAACTCAGAGTGTTATCTAATGGGTATGAATACCTTCCAGGATCCCCACCATACGCGGTAATTTCCAGAATATATTTAAAGGTCCTAACGACTTTAAATCCATATATTAGGAAACAAAGTCCCGCAGGTCACACTGTCTTGATTGATACTAATCTTTACAGTAGCCAGGTAGCTATTTCCAAGATGATTGAATGGGAAAAAATTACCTTTCCAGAAAGATGGCAGATAACTCATGTTGTTCCTCCTAAACCAATTGTTAGACACAATTTGGAAGATGTTATTCAAACTGAAGGTGGTAATGTTTACCTCTGTTTCCAGTCACCACAACGACAGCTAACCAGAAGCATGTCTACTGCTAGCGTGAGATCTACACCCTCATTTAGAGAACCATATAGGGTAGATCTTCCTGAGTCATCCAGACATTCTAGTGTTGAACCCCTTGAAGCTGTTATTCAAGGAATGTTATCCAGATCACATAGTACACCTGATCATATCGATCCCATGGATCCTATTGTCCAAGGACTCCAGTTTTCTCCGAACAAAATTCCACATGGCATTTATGAGCCACGAACATCCAATAGCAAAGGACCTTATAGTCCTACTGCCAGTGACATGAACTTTGAAGTTTAATGGATTTTAGCTCTGGGAGTGCAAATAGGAAAGTCTTAAATCAAGACTTTTACCATGAACAATTTACTGACTTCAGAAATTGGTATTTTACCAATCACACTCCTGAACAAATACAAAACTTCAAACTCCAGTATTATGATTATCTAGAGATCCACCAAATACTCCAACCTTTTCCCTTATGGTTTAAAAACCATGTAGGAATCCCGATATCCCAAATAAATGTATTAGACTAGAAAAATTGGGTCACTACCGATGGAAATATGTATACCTCCATCCATCCTCCTGCTAAATCTCTTGAACTACTTCCTAGTGATACAACTTCCAGTCAACCTTTGGTTATTTCGCCCTTTATGGAACCTCCTCCTAAAAGTTCCAATGCTTTGACCGTCAAAGAATTTATTCCTGTTATCAAATAGAATAATTATACAAATCTTTACTGTCAAACCATGGGGAAGCAGTTAACCCGGATTGAAGAAACAGTTGTTCATTTAAAAGAACATTGTCAAATTCAACCAATAAAGCAACCGGAAATCCAGCCGGCCCTACTCAAACCTAATCCCACGGTTACCAATTTTAATTTGGAACCAAAAAAAGATAATACCGAATTCATGAACACGTTGATAGATAAGATTAAAAATCTTAATCTTTCTACTTCCGGCCCATCTCAGGTCAATATGTTATCCAAAGATCATATAACCAAGGAAGAGCCTTTTCCCGAATTGACTATTCAACAAATAGCCGAAATTCAAGCTAATTTCCAGGATGATCAACCTAGTGAAGTCAATAGGGTCATGTACGACACCAAAATTGATCGACACTCTTACCTAGCTCCAAGTAGGTATTATTATTCCAGACCTACACCCGTTGATATTTTGTATGAAGAAAATTTCTTACAAAATCATAAACATTATCAAAGTCGTACCATTTATGAATGGAACATAGATGGTTTAACTGACTATCAAATATATGAAACCTTACAGCACATGATGATGTTTGCCACTGTTTGCAAACAAAATGAAAATACCGACCATCAAGTTGTGAGATTTATTGTCAGTGGTTTTACTGGTATCCTTAAAGGATGGTGGGATAATATTCTCACGACGGCTCAAAACGATGAGATCCTAACTTCAACCCGAATTCGTTTAGATCCTGCCACTAGAGCTGAAGTTACAGAACAAGATGCTGTTTACACCCTGGTAAACACCATAATCCAGCATTTTATTGGTAATGTTACCGGTCTTGAAGATCGTACCCAGGAACTTCTTCAGAAATTAAGATGTCCATCTTTATCTCATTTCAGATGGTATAAAGATGTTTTCATGACGAAAGTTCATCGGCGTACATATGCTAGTTCTGAACACTGGAAGGCCAAATTCATCGATGGCTTACCTACTCTTTTTGCTGAAAGAGTTAGAAAGAAATTACGTGACCGACATGATAGGATGTCTATACCTTATTATAGATATACCTATGGTCAGCTAATTGCTATAATTACCGATGAAGGACTTGCTCTATGTAATAAGCTCAAACTTCAGCAGCAAATGAAACAGCAACATCTAACTAGCCGAAAAGAAATAGGTGAGTTCTGTGAACAATTCTCCTATGGAGATAATTTACAATATCCCAAATCCAGCAAACATAAAAAAATGGCAAATCCCAAATCTTATCCTAAAAAATCCAGAAAAGGTAAGTATGCTAAGCCACAGGCTCAGCAAGCTACACCTAATAGGAAGCAATCAAAACCTTACAGAAAGAAATCATCCAAATCCATCATTAAATGTTATAAGTGTGGACAGACAGGACATTATGCCAACCGCTGCAAATCCAAAATACAACATAAGCTTAATGAACTATCTGTAGATGATAATTTGAAGCAACAAATCCTTCAAATGCTTTCAGATTCAAACATTTCTTCTGATAATGAAGACGAAATTAATGCTTTATATTCAGACACTTCAGATACATCAGAAGATAATCCCGAAATTTGCGGTTGCAAATCTAATATTAATCAAATTACAGATGAAGTCAACTATTGGAAAGCAATAGTTGAAATGAATGGACTTGATATTGGAGGACCCAGTATCAATGTTCTGACAGAAGATGAACACAAAATAATTAATTTTGCTGATCATATTTCTAATCCATAAATGAAATTAAAATTCTTAGAACTATGCTTACAGCAGTAGAAGAAGGAAGAAATTCTTCCTCCGCAACATTATACCATGAAAGAAGTTTTTAACCGACTCCAAAATATCCAGACCGAAGAAAAGCCTATCTCTATTCAAGATCTGAGAATGGAGGTAAATGCTTTAAAATTAGAAGTCAAACATTTACAGAATTCCAACAATGCCATTAATACTGAAATTAAAAAGATTAATGGGAAACTCCAGAAAGATAAAAATATCATCGAATCTACTTCTGAAAATCCTCCAGAAACTAAAGCAACAGATTATTTAATGCTCATGAACTCTGTTACTTTCCAGAAATGGTATATCCGAATCACTTTCATGATAAAACTTGATTTTATCATCAAAGATGCCATTGCTCTTGTTGATAGCGGTGCTGATATGAATTGTATTCAAGAAGGACTTATTCCAACCAAATACTTTCATAAAACTATGCAATCACTCACAAGTGCAAGTGGTAATACTCTATATATCCAGTATAAACTTCCAGAAGTTTTAATTTGTAATCAAGGATTATGTCTTCCGACTTCTTTTGTTCTTATTAAGAACATGTCTCAAGCCATAATTCTTGGAACTCCTTTCCTGTGTCTTTTGATGCCAATTCTCAAAATTGATTCTATTGGCATCCATACAAACCTGAATAATCAACCGATTATTTTTGAGTTTATTACACAGCCTTACACTAAGGAACTTGATCAAATAAAGGACTTAGTAAATTTCAAAGAAAAACAAATTAATTTCTTACAAAAGGAAATGAGTTTCTTACTTCAGAACAACGGATAAGTCAATCCTCTTCCCAGCAAAAATTTAAAATTCTTGAACAAGAATTTCAACTGAAATTTGCAGTGATCTTCCTAATGCTTTTTGGAATTGGAAGAAACATATTGTTTCTTTGCCTTATGAACCAGGTTAAGATGAGCGGAATATTCCGACTCGCGCTCACCCAGTCAAATGAAAAAGGAGTATATGGAACTCTGTAAGACAAAAATTATACTCTTCTCCAGAAAAAACTTATTCGCCCCAAGTAACTCCCTTGGAGTTGTACTGCTTTTAATGTGAATTATAAATGCAGAGAATTGAGAGAGGTACTCCATGATTAGTCATCAATTATAAACCTCTCAATGAAGCCTTACAATGGATAAGGTATCCAGTTCCAAACAAAAAAGATCTTTTAGATCGCCTCCGCGATGCAGTAGTCTTTTCCAAATTTGATATGAAATCAGGATTTTGGCAAGTCCAAATCGCTGAAGAAGATAGATATAAAACTGCTTTTACCGTACCCTTTGGACATTTCGAATGGAATGTAATGCCATTTGGTTTAAAAAATGCTCCTTCTGAATTCCAGCATATAATGAATGACATATTCAATCCTTATACAGAATTCTCCATTTGTTATATTGATGATGTTTTACTTTTTTCCTCATCAATTGACCAACACATGAAACATCTTAATATTTTTAAGCATGTTATCATAAAAAATGGTTTAGTTGTTTCTGCCCCAAAAATGAAACTTTTTCAGACGACTGTCCGATTTTTAGGCCATAATATTCACAATGGTACTGTTATTCCTATTAATAGAAGTATGGAATTTGCTTCTAAATTTCCTGATGAAATCAAGGATAAAACTCAATTACAGAGATTTTTGGGTAGTCTAAATTATATACATGATTACTATCCTAACCTTGCTACTGATGCAGCAATTTTGTATACCAGACTAAGAAAAAATCCTCCCACATGGTGTCCAGAACATACTGCAGCAGTAAAGAAAATAAAGGCTAGAGTTCAGACTCTACCTTGCCTTTCTTTACCTAATCCAGAATGGAAAAAAAAATGTTGAAACTGATGCTTCTGATTTAGGGTTTGGTGGGATTCTCAAACAGTTTAATCCAAACACTAAAAAAGAAGAACTTCTCAGATTTCATTCCAGAATTTGGCATTCTGCAGCCAAAAATTATCCAACCATTAAAAAAGAATGTTTAGCAATTTTAAAATGTGTTTTAAAATCCCAAGATGATCTCCTCAATCAACATTTTTTAATCCGAGTTGATTGTTCTGCTGCTAAACAAATCTTTAAAACTGATGTTAAAAATCTAGCTCAAAAACAGATTTTTGCCTCTTGGCAAGGCCAGCTTTCCGTTTTTGATTTTGATATTGAATATATCAAAGGAGAAAATAATTCTCTTCCAGATTTTCTAACCCGAGAATATTTGTAGCGTTCTCATGCCGAATAGAGGCCGAGGCTCCGGCAGAAGGGACCGTGGTAGGGGTAATCCCTACAATACTGAATTTCCAGGCCTTGGTGCCACTACCAGCAAAAAAGGAAAATCTAGCCAAACGGCTAAAGATGTCCTCCTCGCACCTCTTGTGCCTTATGTTCCGAATCTTATTGCTGACGAAACTGTCCTCTACATTGAAACCTCTGAGGTTCAATGGATGAAGGACCCTTGGAAAATTAAAAGGAGGTATTTGACCACTCAGCATGCATTACCTCGCTTTGATCATTACCGATATATGTATGAGCAGATCTTAATTGATACTGGCTCAATGGATTTCAAGCATACATTGGTTGAGCCCCATCGAGCTGCCAGTCCAATTAATTACAGCAAATGCACTATCTAGCAGATCTTGCCCATGAATGCTTGGGGCATGCATCCTCACGTTACTCGATCTCTTGAGATTCATAACAAGGAGGTTCGGTTCAGTTATTGGGATTATATTACTGCTTTCAAAGAAACTTTTTATTATATGAATCCCCCTCGGAACCATTCTTGGTTTATCCGCATTCTTCCTGATGTTCTCCAAAACGATCTCCCATCCTGGTTTCTCGTTTGGTGGGATAGCCATGGTATTCAAATTGATGCTTTTCCTGACGATATCCGTAATGCATTTAATGAATGGCATATTGCATTCAGTCATCTTCCCGGACATCAAGATATTTCTATGTCCAAATCCACAATTCAATTTGTTATCCGTTTTGGTATTCCAGGGATATGGAAATGGGATTTTCAGAATAAAATTCCCCAATTAAAAAGAGTATTCTTTTATAAATGGTGGAATAAAATGGATGATCCAAAACCTCGACAGGAATTACTCCAGAAGATTAAGGCTCATACTCAAGCCTGCTGGGATGCTACTCCTAAACTCATCCCAGCTGCTCCAGCCCAAAATCCATTTGTCCAGATTCCAAACGAATTGAGTCAAAAATTTCCGACACTATCTGAATCAGAATTAGTAATCAAGAGCATGGATTACATGAAAGAGCAATTTCTCCAATCTCTCAACCGTGATGACATCAGTATGAAGTCAGGAGCCAGTCATGAAGAAGACGGGCATCCTGATCCTTACAATGATGATAATGAGTTCAACGTGTTAGGGGGTGAAGCTCAAGAACCAGATGATGCTAATCCCAATCTTGGAGATTTTTGGGATTCTCTCACAGGATTGATTGGCGACAAACTTAGTCAAGAAAAGGACAAAAAGGGGAAAGGAAAAGCAGAATGATTTCCCTTTATTCTCCACTCATCCAGACGCATGATCCAGCTCCACAAGATGACAAGAATGCTTTCGGCTACGTTTCCTAAAGCAGATTGCTTGTCTGCCACACTTAGCTAAAGCCATCCAGCTGTCTATCTTACCGACACTTATAGATAAGGGAATCCAAAGGAGATAAGGATGATCGACTCCAATCCATTTAGGACACGCCACCTGTCTCGCAGATATATCCCTTGTATTATTTTTTTTTCTATAACAAATAATAAACTTGGCTCTGATGCCAATAATGGTTCTTGCATAGGTTATGGCTAACACGTCTGTTAACGACTTACGAGAAAAGACCTAACCGCACTTACTGCTAACGGTCAAACTCTACGCGACTTGGGTGACGTCCCATTAACCCTAACTTTGTACTAACCATCACTATGCACTGACCGAAGAATATTAGTTGTTATAGTTTTATTTTATTTTAGATTAATTATGCCATACATGGTCTCATGAACTAATTTTCTGGAGGATGTGGAGGCCTACCGGCCAATATGAGTAGACAGATTTGTTTCTGGATTTGTAATTGTGTTTTTTCAATTAATTGATTAACTTCTTCTAATTGCTGTAAACCCCAAGGGTCATTAGGCCAGATTGACAGAAAGTTTCAGAAAAGATTGTTTTTTCGATTTATATGATATGCTAATATATCATTTAATATAATAAGTATATATTCAGACATGCATAGTAAAAGTAAAGGGATAGATACAATACTTACTCAATATGGCACACTTTATTAGATACTTGATAAGTATAATACAGGAGCACACCTGAGAGAGAGAGAGAGAGAGAGAGAGAGAGAGAGTACAGACTTTGAAACGGAAAAACTAAATATTTCGTTCTGCCTCAACAAGGGTGAGGATGCCCTTTATATAGAAAAGAAAATAATACAAGGGATATATCTGCGAGACATGTGGCGTGTCCTGAATGGGTTGGAGTCGATCATCCTTATCTCCTTTGGATTCCCTTATCTATAAGTGTCGATAAGATAAACAGCTGGATGGCTTTAGCTAAGTGTGGCAAACAAGGAATCTGCTTTAGGAAACGTAGCCGAAAGCATTCTTGTCGTCTTGTGGAGCTGGATCATGCATCTGGATGAGTGGAGAATAAAGGGAAATCATTGTTCTTTTCCTTTCCCCTTTTTGTCCTTTTCTTGACTAAGTTTGTCGGCAATCAATCCTGTGAGAGAATCCAAAAAATCTCCAAGATTGGGATCAGCATCATCTGGTTCTTGGGCTTCACCCGCTAACACGTTGAACTCATTATCATCATTGTAAGGATCAGGATGCCCGTCTTCTTCATGACTGGCTCCTGACTTCATGTTGATGTCATCACGGTTGAGAGATTGGAGAAATTGCTCTTTCATGTAATCCATGCTCTTGATTACTAATTCTGATTCAGATAGTGTCGGAAATTTTTGACTT